GCCCATGCTGCATGTCCATCTCATGGGTGGTTGCCAAACTGCTGTTTTTCAGCAACCGCTCCCTAACTTTAGGAGGAAAATGCATTGTTGATAAGTACCTGGTGATTCAGATACAGCTGGCCCTTGTACCACACTTTGAAAAATACTGATGTAAAACCAAGTTTGCACTTGAAAACAAGGCAACATTTAATTCCAAACAGTTTTCTACTGGCTGATCTCATATGTACCCAAGATTGTCAATGCTTCCGTTTTCCCAGACTGACATGGTCATTGTGGTAGGCAATAGTTTCAGACTGTTTTATCAAAATAATGCTCCAGTTATTTCCTGGCCTAGAAGCTAAGGGAATACCAAATGCATCTTTTAATTACTAACGTTCTGTAAGAATAAGCTTGACTAGATTTCCATGTGAACCTTAAGTATCATCTCAATAATCTTGGGGAAAACAATACTAACTCTAAAGGTGAAAGGAGGTTTAAAATTGCTTTAAAACCAATTACCTCATCATAGGAAATCCATTTTAAATACTGTTAGCCCAAGAATTGCCCATGACTGGGGTGGTGGTGGTTGTTTTCCTCTTATGTGAGTATGTCCTTATTATTGAATAACCATCTTTCTTCAAAATTTCATCAAGTTGGAAATGGCATGGCATTACTATACTTAATAGTTTAGCGGACATGTGTTGTCTGTGTCTGCCCAGTCAGCATCCTCCTGGTAGTGGCACCCCATTCTGTTTTGGACTACTCCTCCAATCTTTGCAGGGGCTGCCAATTAAAGTATCCTGCCCTCCCGTGGTCAAAGAATTTGAATACATGAGATTGGCCAAACTAGGCCAATCAGACACTCTTCTTGGAATTTACATACCTAGCACCATCTCTAGACCAGAAACTCCTCACTAGCAGGGGCAAGGTCTTATTCAGCTCTGTCTCTCCGATGCCTAGCACAGTGCCTGGCTATGAATATTCAATGCATGTGAGCTGAATGAATTACACAGAAAATCATGCACCTTAAACAAATGCTGAACTAAGTCTATCATTTTCCCACTGAATTCCGGAGGGGGAGCAAATTGTATGATGTTTTGTAAGGGAAATATCCACTTTAGTAGCTAGGAAATATGCCTCGGAAATAGTATCCAAAGTTGCCATTTCTCCGTGCATTAAAGATGTCAATCAGTCCAATAAAATAAAGCCCCAAAAAAGACAAAAGGAGAATTACCTCATTACCTCAACATCTGCTTGAACATAAGCAATCACATACTGGCTAATTTTTTTTAAAGGGACATAATATAACTTTCTAGAAAGACATAATATAGCTAATTATACCATTCACTAGGAGGGAACATAAAATGTTTTGAAGTAATTCAGAAGTGGGTGTGATTTATAAGACATAGAGCCTAGGGAATGGTAAGTACAAATTAGAGATTGCTCATATTATGACAGACTCCGTCATTACATTTCACAACTTTTGTCAAAAGCAACCTTATTCACCATACCACTAAAGGCTTCACATTAGGGAAGGCTGCTGTCAGCTTTGTGGTTTAGAGTAGACAGGAATCTCCTTTCTGAACACTCTCCTGGGGAACTGGTTCAAATTTTAGACTTAAAACTTACTAACACAGGGGGAAATTAAGAGAGATTGTTTAATGGGTACAAACATACAGTTAGATACAAGGAGTAAGTTTTAACATTTGATAGCAAAGTAGGGTGACTACAGTTAACAACAATGTATTGTATATTTCAAAAGAGTTAGAAGAGAGGACTTGAAATGTTCCCAACTCATAGAAATGATAAATACTGGAGGCAATTGATACCCCAAATACCCTGACTTGATCATTATGCATTCTAAGCATGTAACAAAATACCCCATGTCTTCTCTAAATATGTACAAGTCTCATGTATCAGTTTAAAAAAAACTCACTAAGGAAGGACCCATATGATGTAAAAAGATTTCAAACATCACTAATAACCAGAGCGATGTAAATCTTAAAAGGTAACATTCTGCCCATTAGATTGGCAAGAATTCAAAAACTTATCAGGCTATCAAATTAATAAAGATTGCTATTAGCCAGAGTTGACCAACGTGTGGGGAAATGGGTGCTGCTGAAGGATATTTGAAGTGGTATAATCATTTTAGGGGGCACTTTTGCAATGTCTAGCAAAAGTATATGTCCATGCCCTCTAATCCAACAATCCCATTTCTTCTAAAAATCTATCCAAGAAAAAAAAAAGTAATTGTACATTTATTCATATAACTTGAATAGTAACTGTCTTCTCTTCTAGACAATTAATTTGGTGACAAGGACTGTCTAGTTCATTATTTACACTCCTAGTGCCCAGCACATGAACCTCACATATGGTGGTACTTGATAAGTATTTGTTAAAGAAATGAATATGTTTACTCAGCATTATTAAGGGAAAATAAAATATTTGATAAATAATGGTTCTTCTTGCTCACATTAAATAGGGGTAGTGGAATTATCACTCAAAATATTAACATTGTGAGTAAAAACGTAGTAACAGGTAGTAAAAATTACTATTTTCAAAAGCAAACTATGTAACCATCAGCTTACAAAATTGATCATAGTATGTACTGTTAAATGCCCAAAGACCCAGTTGTCTGTTCTTCCAAATCCCTAGCTGCCCAGTTAGTTCTATAGGTCAAACAGTAACTGAGTACTTTTGGAGTAAGTAAATTGTTTCCAGTCTGTGGTCCAATGACAAGCAAACGACCTGGTTTTGAAATGTATAAAAATCACACTGTTTAAGCTGAAAAAATCCCAACACCTTTGTAACTAGACTCACTATCCCCAAAAGTGTACCTTTTAAGAAATACAACTTTGAATATCTAACTGTTCTATTACCTTTGATATGCACTTAATCAAGGAAATATATCCTCTAACAATACCAATGCCAAGGATTTGTTTATTTTCCAATACAACGCAATAGGAGAAAGAGCCAGAAATTTAGAAATCCTTTTTCTCGGGTCTCAAACCCAACATAGGAATGGAGAACGTTTTCCAAAATCAAATATAAACAATTTGCAGATTATCTACATTGTTAATCTACCCTTGAATTACATAAGAAATGAAAGGGGAAATTTTTCGTTTTTATCATTGTTTGAAAACTGACCATCCATAAGAAGATCTGATATCCACTGACAGATATTACCTAAAATTTCTGAAAGCTCCACGAATGTAAATACGAATCAAGTTTTAATGTTATGGGTTGGGGGAAGGTGTTATTAAATATAAAATACCAGTAGAATCCAGTATCTCGCTAAAATACTTGAGAAATTTCAGATAAGGGCATTCTGTCCACCCACTAAATTCACTGATGCTTGTGACTTTATCACCTCAGGATAATCTAGGATGCCAGGTAAAGGTGCTGGGAAGGCGAAAGAGACTAACATTTATCCATCACTTTCTAGATGCTGGATATCACAGAGGAATGTGTTATGTCCATTTCAGAGGTTAAATACTTTCCCCAAGGTCATACAGTAAACAGTAATGTTGAAATTTGTTTGCCAGAGTGTGGCTTCAGAAGAATCCAGATGCACTTCCCAACGGTGTTTGTGATTTTATGGAACAACAGGTAAGAGTACTGGACAGGACCTCAGGAAGTCCTCCAGTTTTGCCCTCGCTTTTAGTCAGGTCAGCCTTGACTGACCAGAAGATCCACGGAAGGGAAGAGACTCCTCCAAGTTCACAGAGCCGGTGAGCTGGGCCAAGAGAAGTCAAAGAACTGGAACTAAACACCAGGTTTTGCCACAGGGCAGGGATCCTTCCATTACATGGTCATGTCAGCAAGACATTCAGAAAAGTACATGTTCCTACACATTTTTACTTCCTTTAAATCTGTTTGGTTCCTCCCTCTCTGTTTTTATTTTTATTTTTGGAGACGGAGTTCTGCTCTTGTTGCCCAGGCTGGAGTGCAATGGCGCCATCTTGGCTCACCGCAACCTCCGCCTCCCGGCGATTCCCCTGCCTCAGCCTCCCGAGTAGCTGGCATTACAGGCATGCACCACCACTCCCGGCTAATTTTGTATTTTTAGTAGAGACGGGGTTTCTCCATGTTGGTTAGGCTGGTCTCCAACTCCCGACCTTAGGTGATCCACCCACCTCGGCCTCCCAAAGTGCTGACATTACAGGCGTGAGCCACCGCGCCCGGCTGGTCCCTCCCTTTCTTGACCCACATTCGCAGACCACCCTTTGGTCAGGGTAAAAATGATAACTGTTTAAAGGTGGTAGGTTAGCATTTGGTTGTTGATCTGGTTTGGTTCAGAAGTGTGGTAACTGATGAAAAATAATTCGTTGAAGCAGTTCTTTATTAAAGGATAATCCCCAGTTACCAAGCAGTACAGAAATGTGTGCACATGGCCTGGCTCTCCTGCGCCCAGCGCCAACCCTGTTAATTCTGGAAGCTCAACATTGGCAGGATGCTGACCTTGCTGACTAATAAACTGCTAAAATTCAGAAGTGATTAAAAAAAAAAATTATGGCCTGAAAATCCCAGCTGGGCAAGGAAAGAGGAACTAGACCGAACCCAAATGAAAAGCTGGGAAGGGTGTGAAACAGCGCTACAGGCCACCCAGCGCCAACAAATGCGTAAGGGTGGGGCCAAGCTAGCTGAGCCGCCCAAAGCAGCCAAAATATCCTGCCCCACCCGCTTCTCCCGCAAGGAAGGTGGCACCGTGCAACCTCGTCCGCACTGAATCCTCGTCCCTTCCCCCAGCTCCCCTTTGCCAGCAAACGCAACCGGCGGGCAGCGCGTCTCACGCTGCGGGGCCTGACTCGCCCCGACACTCCGCGTTATCCTCGGTCCAGGGCTTTCCTAGGCGCGCTGGCCACGGAGGACGCCTCTCCACGGGTGACGGAGCTACTGCGGTGACCACGGCGGCCGCCACGTCTCCCGCCCGGCTTCCACCTGCCCTGGCCCCAGCGCCCGGGAGCGGTCCCCGCCCACGGGCCGCGGCTGCCCACACCTGGCGCCCGCTTGCTGCCTACCTTGCTCCTTCAGACTGGTGATCAGCTGCAGCTGCTTCTCCTCGTCCGAGCTGTTCATTTTGGCGGGTGGGGCCGGGAATAAAAGGGAAAGAAGGAGCGGCGCGGGGCACACAGGGGGAGGGGGAAGGAAAAGCAAGATGCCGGTGGCTTGCGGCTCCACTACCCGGAAGTTGGATCTGCTCCCGCTCCTCCTCCTCCTGGCGCGGAGCGCGCGAGTGAGATCATCCCCACGCACCTACTCGGCGGCTGCGGCCGCTTCACCTGCAGGTGGGGCGGGGCGGCCCCGCAGTCCCGGGCAGGGGGTGGAGGGACGGGGGCGGGGCAGCAGCCGCGATCCCAGCCTGTGGCTGCCGGCGCTGCAGGACGCGCTGGTGGGAGGGCTGCGGCCCTGTGTGTGGTCTCTCTGACTCGCCCCGCACCCTTTTCTCCGCCTCCACCCCCGGACTCAAGGACGCGGTTTCAGAGAAAACTGGCCGTGGGTTCGCAACGTGTGTGGGAACTCCACTTTGGACGCTGCCCGGGGGTCGCTCCCCACGAACCACAGATGCAGAGCGGGACGCAATGAGCCATGAACGCCTGGGCTTCTTCCCCAGTTCTCCCGCAGTGGACTCTGGGGGCGCGGTTGCAAAACCTAGCTGCCCGCAGGGGCGGGCCCAGGGTCGTACATTTTGCACCTTGAAAAGCAGACAAGGACCGAATCAGGCCGCCCGGCTACTTAAATGACCATGCCGTGAGTGAAGGAGGGTCCCGGCTAGCTTTCCCCCTCGCACCAGGTTTGCCAGGTGGTCAGAACGTGGACCTTGCCGCACGTGGATGGTGGGGCCTGCAGGGCCCTTGCAGATCATCTGGCTGGTGGCGGGATGACCTTCCCTTTAGAGAGGCTGCCACTGCAGTCCGAATGCCAAAAGTCACGCAGCCCCCGGGCATCAGAGGCTGGCAGTTAAGCCAAGCATTTGTCCCACCTCACTGCCCTCTGAACTATTTGAACTCATGTCTGGGTTAGACTATGCCCATGAGAGAAGTGGCAGGCCTGCATTGTTTCAAAGGTGCCTCTCCCCACCCCTAGTTGCGAGGGAACCTTGGGTTCAGTCTCCTGCATCTTTGAACTTCATCTGAAGAATGGGAAGAATAGTGATACCTACTCTCCAGGAAGAGTTGTAAGGATTTAATAGAGAGAGGAAGATTAACAAAACACCAAGTCCAGAATTTATAATGCAGTTTTTTTGTTTGTTTGTTTCTTTTAACATTACAGGTCTGTGGCCGGGCGCGGTGGCTCACGCCTGTAATCCCAGCACTTTGGGAGGCCAAGGCGGGCGGATCACGAGGTCAGGAGATCGAGACCATCCTGGCTTACGAGGTGAAACCCTGTCTCTACTAAAAATACGAAAAAAATAGCCGGGCATGGTGGTGGGCACCTGTAGTCCCAGCTACTCTGGAGGCTGAGGCAGGAGAATGGCGTGAACCCGGGAGGCGGAGCTTGCAGTGAGCAGAGATCGCACCACTGCACTCCAGCCTGGGCGACAGAGCAAGACTCTGTCTCAAAAAAAAAAAAAAAAAAAAAAAAGATTACAGGTCTGTGAGAAAGGGGTTGTGGTTGCTTAACTATAAGCTGAAGGATGCAGTTCTTTTACACTGATCATTAAGCATGTGAGGTAAGTCCAAACTGAATTAGACTTACTGCACAGCTTGGTTTTTCTCACTACCTGTAAGCTCTTAGTTTGGGTACATCAACAGCACAGTGCTGCTCATTCCTCAATTGATGTTCTATGGAAGTGCCCAGCTCCATTTCTTGTGTTCATTTCTCCATGACAGTTGTAGAGTGAGGTCGAGATATGGGTAAATCCTGTAACTAGTGTCTTTCTGATACTCACTACATGCTAACTCAAATTTTGAAAAAATGGTAGCACTGCTTTCTCTTTCTCTAAAATGGCAATATAGTACTTTAGCACGGGTGATTTAGGAGTAGAATGATCTAAAAGGGTAGCGTAGTATTTTTTTAATACAGTGTATTAAAATGTTTAAAGTTTAAAAATAATTTTGATATGGGATTGTATTATTCAGCCCTTTCCCTAGGTTTTCATAATTCAAGATAGTTGCAGATAGCTGCCATGAAGATCTCCAGGAGATAATCAAAGGGTCTTTGCTCAAGTATTACATCTTAGTCCTCAGAGTTGAAAGAAGTCCCCGAAAGAGGAGACAATTCAGACTCAACTCCATGAAAATGTGAATATATGCCGCCACCAGGTATTTTGTGGGAAGATAAATAATCCCCTTACAGAAAAAAAAAAAATCCGGGAAATTTGGGTGGAAAATAATGGGCATTTAGCTTTTGTCCCGCAGTCGGGAAACCTGTTAAACCTGATGAGTCATCCTGACTCATTCTCTCACACTCTACCAAATATAAGCAAAGTGCACCATTAAATATTTGGCTTAGTTCACAAAGTTCCATTTTTTTAATGGCTGGTTTGTCTTCTCCAATTATACAGTAGTTAGATAGTATTTCTGGAGTTTAAGAATGAGTTAATTATCAAATCTATAATCAAACTGTTTTGGTTCCATACTAAATCTGCAGCCTCTTGCAATTGATCCCATTTATCCCCCTTAAAATTAGAAAAGGCTCCTGAGCTGAGATCCTGCCACTGCAATGCAGCCTGGGTGACAGAGCGAGACTCCATCTCAAAAAAATAATTTTAAAAAAATCCCGAAATACAATATAGCATTCACTTGAGGACATGGTATGAATTATTAGGAGGGCTACTAGAGTCCTTATTGGAATTTAGGCCTCCCATTACACTATGGTTTATTTATATGATATGAATATTGATGGACAGAAGTGATAAACTAGTTTTTGTTCTGTTTAATAATATACATAGTGATGGCTGTGGGAAGCCGAGGAGGGCAGATCATGAGGTCAGGAGATCGAGACCATCCTGGCTAACACGATGAAACCCCGTCTCTACTAAAAATACAAAAAATTGGCCGGGCGTGTGACGGGCGCCTGTGGTTCTGGCTACTCTGGAGGCTGAGGCAGGAGAATGGCGTGAACCCGGGAGGTGGAGCTTGCAGTGAGCTGAGATCAGGCCACGGCACTCCAGCCTGGGCAGCAGAGTGAGACTCCGTCTCAAAAAAAAAAAAAAAAAAAAAAAAAAAAGTACAGTGGTCAAGAAGGAGTTTCTCTTTATTCTTTTTTTAATGTTTCAGGTAATTAAAGTAAAATCACATATGTCATCTTTTGAGGCATACAGATAAATAAGATTGAAATACAATGAAGAGAAAAAGGTTCACTCTCTTTGATCCACTAGTTCTATATCAGTGAATCTATTCTAAAAGGCTTATGTACAGAGCTATTTAATGTAATGTTAATTATGATATAACAATGGCAACATAGGCCGGGCACGGTGGCTCAAGCCTGTAATCCCAGCACTTTGGGAGGCCGAGACGGGCAGATCACGAGGTCAGGAGATCGAGACCATCCTGGCTAACACGGTGAAACCCCGTCTCTACTAAAAAAAATACAAAAAAACTAGCCGGGCGTGGTGGCGGGCGCCTGTAGTCCCAGCTACTCTGGAGGCTGAGGCAGGAGAATGGCGTGAACCCAGGAGGCGGAGCTTGCAGTGAGCAGAAATCGTGCCACTGCACTCCAGCCTGGGCGACAGAGCGAGACTCCTTTTCAAAAAAAAAAAAAAAATTAACCAGGTGTGGTGCACATGCCTGTAATCCCAGCTACTGGGGAGGCAGAGGCAGGAGAATCGCTGGAACCCAGGAGCAGAAGGTTGCAATGAGCCGAGATCGTGTCATTGCTCCACCCTGGGCAACAAGAGCAACACTCGGTCCCCCCAAAAAAAAAGAAAGAAAGAAAATATCAACCGAATATGCACAAAAGGAAAGGAGAAGGAAGTCAAAATGATTAACTACCAAAAACATACATACTTTTTAAAAAACTAAGTACAAAATAAGGCAATAATGAAGCAAACGAGGAGCAAGAGCTATAGATAATACATGGCAAAATGGCAGAAATAAGTCATTTCTTATTAACTATAACTTTAAATGAAGATGGTTTAAACTCTCCAATCAAAAGGCAAAGACTGGCATGATGCAAAAAAAATATGATTTAACTATATGCTGTCTACAAAAGATTTATTTTAGATCCAAAGACAACAATAGATTTAAAGCAAAATGGTGAGAAAAAATTTCATTAGTAACCAAAAGAGAGTTGTGGTGGTTATATTACTATCAGACAAAACAGACTTTAAGTCAAAAACTGTTACAACAAACAAAAGTCACTATATATTAACAAAAGGGTTGATTCGGTAAGAGTATATAATTATTATTATTTTTTTTTTTGGGGGGACGGAGTCTCGCTCTGTCGCCCAGGCTGGAGTGCAGTGACCGGATCTCAGCTCCCTGCAAGCTCCGCCTTCCAGGTTGACGCCATTCTCCTGCCTCAGCCTCCCGAGTAGCTGGGACTACAGGCCTCCGCCACCTCGCCCGGCTAGTTTTTTGTATTTTTTAGTAAAGAAGGGGTTTCACCATGTTAGCCAGGATGGTCTCGATCTCCTGACCTCGTGATCCACCCGTCTCGGCCTCCCAAAGTGCTGGGATTACAGGCTTGAGCCATCGTGCCCGGCCAAGTATATAATTATTATAAACATATATACAGGCTGGGTGCGGTGGCCCACGCCTGTAATCGCAGCACTTTGGGAGGTGGAAGTGGGCGGATCTCTTGAGGTCAGGAGTTTGAGACCAGCCTGGCCAACGTGGTGAAACCCCATCTCTACTGTAAAAAAAAATTATATATGTATATGTGTGTGTATATATATATATATATATATATATATATATAAAACAGATTACCAAAATATATGCAGCAAACGTTAATAGCATTAAAAGGAGATATAGATAGTCCTACAAAAATAGTTGGAGACTGTCTCACTTTCAATAATGGATATAAAATGTATAGAAACGGTCGATAAGGATAGAGAGGGCTTAAACAACTATAAACCAAGTAGACATAACAGACATATATAGAACACTCCACCTGACAAAAGCACAATTTACATGTTTCTCAAATTGACAGATGTTATATTAGACCACACATTTCTTCTCAATAAATTCAAAAAGATTGAAATTATACAACTCATACAAAGTATCTTCTTCCATGACAATGGGATGATATTAGAAATCAGCAATGGAAGGAAATCTAGAAAATTCACAGATATGTAGATATTAAACACCACACTTTTCAGCAACCAAAGGTTCAAAGAAGAAATCACAAGAAAAAACAGAAAATTTAGAAATAATACCAAAAATACAACATATCAAAATTTATAGGATACTGTGAAGACAGTGCTCAGAGAGAAATTTATAGTTCTAATTACTAAATTATAAAAGAAGAAAGATACAGAATCAATAAGGTAACTGTACATCTTGAGAAAATAGAAAGATAAGCAAACCCAAAATTAGCAGAAGGAATAAAACAATGAAGAATAGAGTGGAGATAAATAAAAGACAATAGAAAAATAATAGAATTAATAAAAAGTTATTTCTTTGAAAATATCAGCAAAATTGACAACCCTTTCCCTAAATTAACAAAGAAAAAAAGAAA